TGTTAAAAGTATCCCTCTGCCTTCACATCTTCTGCTAATTAGTAATTCCACTTGGGTGTGGAATGAACGGGACCTTTCTATTAACTAGATGAATGGGATAACCAGATCCGAGCAGTCCCCATCTTCCCAAACAAAAAAAACTTCCTGTAGAATATTCCAGATACAAGGTATCTTCTGAAAAATAGCAATGAAATCATTAATGGTTTAACATCTTCGTTTTCTTCAAAGTGAAAGGACGAGTCCAGTGACTTTGCACACAGGGGTTCTATCTCTGAACAATTCCGTTTGGCCTCCTGGAAGGTCTGAGTTACTTTTGGTGGAATAACCGGATCTGTTTGCTCCAAGGAGAGGGCGCAAGTCCTCTGAGGAAGCAGGGAGACAGATGGCCAGCTATTGTGTTACCACCATCATCTGCTGGGCCGTGAGCAAATATTAAGTGAATGATATATATGTAATTGGTGTGAAAGTACAGTCGCAACATTTCTAATTCCGTCTGAAGGATGGCTGCTTCTTGAACATTTGTATTTCATAGAATATATTGAAATGTTTCTGTTTACAGCGTTAATCCATTTTAAAGCGCTTTAAAGTGAACATTTTCCCCCATTTTTGACACCACTGTGCAATATTTTGAATTGAAATGGCCCGTAATGGCCCTTTTTTATTTTCCATCACAACATGAGCACTGAATTATAGCTGTGCAATTATGTAAACAATGGAAATGCTTCCAGAATGAATCCTTCCTTTTAAATTTTCATTTTGTGTAATTGTTGGAAGGTTTGGAGCCATAATAAACAAAATTATTTTACACATTTATCGTTCTAAAGGTCAATTATAAGAGAACTAAAGAAACAACACTATGCAAAATGAATAAACCAATTTCTGTTGCCATCGCCATATGTTTTTCTTATCACTTATGGGTTTTCCAGTTACTGTGTACATAGCATTCAATTAAAGCGATTCATTTACTAGGCTGAATGTGGTTTGTGTTTATAGAACTGTGCTTTGGAGGGGAGGAAACAACATGCCTCTATTTGAATTACCTGATTTTTTTGTAAGATCAGCGATAAGAGACAGATGTTCTCACCAGTTACTTTCTCATAAACCTGAATCTCTGGATAAGCTGCAAATTCACAGCTATCATCTTACAATCCAGTTTTCACACTCAGTGTGTAGCATGCGTGTGGACTTATAACCAAAAATGAGAGGAAAATGCTAGTTTGGTGGTCCGTTCCTCATATTACAGCATTTTGCGGATTGAATTTTATTTCCTCTGAACAAAAAGCATGTGAAAGAGTTTCATGCTGGTCAATTTTCAAGAGTAAGCTTAATTCCTATTTTAGAGTCCATCTTTTCATTGAGCTTATAGTTTTGCTTATTATTTTCAGTCTGTTTAAAACGTGGAAAAGAAACTAATTTTTGCTACCAGACTCACTTGATTGGGTACATTCTAGAACTCCTTAGAAGAATGGACTCTCGAATATCTAAAACAGAGCATTTTCCGGTTTTTATTTCATTATTTGCCCTATAAATTATATACACTATGGCTAATTGCTGTAACACTTTGCTAAGGATGTTATTGGAGAGAATTAGTTTTTAGGGTTTTTTAACTTCTGGGAGAATGTAATCTAAGAGGCTTTGGGGACCACCTTTGAAATGTTTTAAAAAGCTCTTTCTGAGTATCAGCAAAATAGTAGTTCACGGAATTCTACAAAGTAAATTCTAGAAAGTAAAAGTCCTTCATGGTCCTTCCCTTTTATTTTTACTCTGTTTACTTCTGTGTGACCCTCTTCAGTTTACAAGGCATGTGTTCACATCTCTCCCGTTACCCACAAGTCCAGGGGGAATCAGTCCCTTCTGTGGAAGAGAAATGAGAAGCTCTAAGCTCGACGTGACCTGTCCACGGTCACATACACGAGGTCTTGACCCCAGGCCTGGGGCTCTTTTCACTCTGCCAGAGTCTGACTTGAGTACAGGGGCATTTTCCACCATGATCACAAAGGAAGGGGCACTGAATAGCCCTGAGTCGAACCCGGGGAGCCATGGCCCTGGCTCTGCCAGCCCTGTGACACCCGGACAGGTGGCTGGAGCAGGCACAGAACTTCTCTCTCCACCCAGGATGCAAACCACGCTGTTAACAAGGAGAGCCTCCATCTGATGGGGATGTTTAGCAAAAACTCAGTAGCCTTGGTTTACCATAATTGTACTGATTTAAGGGTTATTTTCTACTTATGACAGGATACGAGTTTTCCAGAATACTCTTATTTGCATGAAAAAAAAGTGAGTTACTTTGAAAAACAGACAAATCATATTCACTTTGGACTTGAATAGGACAAAAAGCATGAGGGTTGTACGTGAATAATTTGTGTTTGGGACGCACCATCCTGTTCAGTTTCCCTGAAACCCCAGGGACCCAGGAGAAAGCTTCAGTCTCAAGATTTCCATTTTCGCAAGGATTCCGGCTATCGCCGTGCTCTCAGTGTGTGGAAAGGAAGGCTCCTACCAGAAGTGCCGGCAGCCCTTTGCGGATGTCCCTCTGCTGGGAAGATGCGGCTGCTCTCCTTCGAGCACCACAGTTATTCCTAATTTCGAAATGTTGTCACAAAGATTATAATCTTTGCGTTGTTCCATTTTAGTGTGGATAAGCAAAATAAGCAAGCATATGGCCCTAACTTGGCCGACTGGCCATACAGCCCCCTCTTTAACCCCCATATTAACCCCAGCCCAGAGCTGCTGTAACTGGCGGCCTCACTTCTCCTGGGGGCCGCCTTCCGTGGGTGGCGGGCAGGCTAGGCCAGCCATCTGTTATTTTGCCTTCTCTTTCCAACCTTCTCGCCCGTAGAAACAGGTTCCGTTCAAGAGACTGGCCGAGGTCCAGGGGGTGGGGAGCCTATGACTTTCTCTTGCTGCACACATTTCTGCTTCCTTCAGCATCAGTGGCAACTTAGTCATGTCTGGGAATGCCCCACTTCCAGCTCATTGCCTTGACGCATCTGAATCTTGTGAAGCAAAATGGATTTCATGTATAAATTCTGGCTTTAGCTTGTTAAAGGATTTAGTTCATAATTGCCGTAAACGTACCCCAGAAAACCCTTTTTTAAAATTAAACCTCTCAATTCCAGTGGAGAAAAATCTGTGATTTAAATATGTGCTAAAGGTGTTAAAAACCCACACGGTTCAAGGCTCAGTTCCTCCCCTCAACAGATGGAATTAACACAAACCTAACAAAGTTAACATCATGGTTGTTTGCATTATTAATCTTCCCACGCACGGCATTCTACCTTGCAAGCCAGGTTTGCACGAATCCTTTCGTGGCAGCAGATGTCAACAGAAGCGTGCTTCCATCTGCTGCCCGAGACCTTGATGCCTGATACCCCGAGACGAGGCCCAGCACAGAGCCTGCCTCTGTGAGTAATTACAGGTGTGTGGTGAGGAGTCCAGGGCATTAATCAGAGGCTTCATTATGAAAAAGGTGGGTCTTTTGTTCTGCGCTCAGAGCGGGAGTTGACCACACACTTTCTAAACTGCAGTGTCCATCTGCTCAGCCCCTAGAATGTTTGCCTTGGCTGATGTGGACACTGAAATGTATCAAAGGACGTGATTACAGCAGGTTTAAACATTAACCCGGGGGAAGCATGGTTCGGGTTTTTCTTTCCTTTCCTCCTTCCTTCCTCCCTTTTATCTGTCTATTTATCTGTTTGTGTCTCTGTTTATTTTTGGTATAGGAAAAAGTCTGCTGAAATGCTAAAACCTTAAGTTAGTACTTGCTAAATACCAATAGAGTAAAGCACTGCGCCGTCATTTTAAGGACACACACAGCATGATTGGTAGACACTAAATGAGCCTGCTATGTGAGGAAGAAGTCTTAGAAGAAATGTTTTGTGAACACCTAAAAGTTCTCTTTTAAGATTACAAGTTGTTCAATAAGGTTATTGTTATGAAAAAGGACTTAATGTGTTAGAATCGAGCACACTGCTATCCCTTGCTCTAATTTAATCAAGTTAAATCAGGATTATTTTAAAGGATTTTCAAATAGCTACACTGAAATGTGAGAAAACAAACCAGAGGTTTTGGGGGGCTTTCTGTTGTTGTTATTTTGGTATTTTGCTTCTTGTATTTTGCGACTAACTCTAGGTTATATAACTACAAGTCCCATAACTACAGCACTTCAGTGCACTTGATGAATGCACTTGGCCTAGAACTGCATAAAAGCAGTTTGTGGTTTTCTTACTAATCCCCTTTGCACACACTCGCACAGATGGCTTCAGAGACGCGGCCTGGCCGTGGATGGCACGAACGCTGTCCAGGAGAAGAGCCCTGGTCTGCCACGGGCTGGAATGAGGCAACGCCTCAGAACAGAGCTGGCGGGCAGGGGCCAGCCGGCCACCCACCAGTGAGAGGCCCTTCCAGACCCAGGGGACACCAGGTGTCTGGGGGCAGATGGTCCACATGCAGCGCTGGGTACACGTGCCTTGCCACCCACTTCTACCCGGAGCCCCACCGACCACCTGACCTTGGCGCGTGACCCATCCCAGTGGGACCCACACTCCCATTGTTTCACACGGGAGTTGCCCGAAGAATGCAAGTTTCCATCCCTGCCTGCTTCAGGAGTTTGTAATAGAACAGTGTGCTTTGACTCTTGAAAATTGAAGATGAGAAGTGATAGCTGCTTGCAGGTTTAATTTATTTATCTACCTCACCACTCCTGTAGCTTGTCCTAGGAGCCCACCTCTACATGGAAGATGGAAGAGTGTCTAGTCCCAGTGCCACAATTCAGGTCTTGGACAAGTCACCCTACAGTGTATGGTCTCCATCCTCTTACGTGTAAAATGAGTACAGTAGCCCCTGGACTAGCTCATCTCCTGGAACCCTTTTCACTAAAAAAGTTCCATGGTCTGTGTTCTTTCAGATAATCTCACAGTAGTCATATGTACAGAGGAACTGATGACTTTGGAATTTTGGTCTGGAAACTTACAGTTGTGTTTTCTTTTCTCCCCTTCTAGGATATCTTAAATACCATTGTAAGGCACTGCCCACCCCGCTTTTTCTCCCTGGGTTTGCCCGGCTTCTCCATGCTGGTGGGGGACTTCATCACGGCCGCTGCCAGGGTCCTCAGTGCAGACACGCTGGCGGTGAGTGTGACAATGCTCAGCATCCCAGCTCCCAGGAGGCTTCACAGCGGCTAACAAGGTTCAGATTTCTCCACTCCTAACAGGTGTTGACTCATTAGTGCAACGTGAAACCGGGCTCTCGGGTAGATGCCCTGGCAGCTGATGTGTGAAATTGTAGGATAAGATGACACACTGGTAGTGGAAAGGCGTTTCATCAGAAGGCCAGAGTGAGAAATCATGTCCTCACTAATATTGCAGCACATTTACACAGTCAGAGGCAGGACTGGTCTCCTAGAGTCTTATTAGCATTTTTCGTAAATGGTGGCGCAGACACTAATGTCTGTGATCAAGAGATTTTTTTTTCTTTTTTTTGCGGTACGCGGGCCTCTCACCGTTGTGGCCTCTCCCATTGCGGAGCACAGGCTCTGGACGCGCAGGCTCAGCGGCCATGGCTCACGGGCCCAGCCGCTCCGCAGCATGTGGGATCTTCCCGGACCGGGGCACGAACCTGTGTCCCCTGCATCGGCAGGCGGACTCTCAACCACTGCGCCACCAGGGAAGCCCAAGAGAGAATTTTAAGTGTACATCATCAATAAGGTTTTTTTTCTATTATTAAGTCTTAGTTATTATAAGTCTAATAGAAAATATTTTCTTAAAATGTTAGAACACTAAAATTTTTAACCAGAAAATTAATATATATCTTTGTATTCATATGCCGTAAAACTCTGGCAGAATTCTTGTACTAAGAAATGAGAAGCAAGTGGACTGAGTGAGCGCTGAGGGCTACGAAAAGAATTGATTTGTAGTCTCCACCTTTACCTCCACCATTAGGGCGATGTATTAACGCCTTTGAGAGGACACTCTCACCTATTTCAATTTAAAGGCCTCTCACAGTCGTGCTCTGTACAGCTGTTACCTGTTCAGAGCCAGTTTTCCCTTCTTTAAATGGTGTAAATAAAACTAGCTTTACTGTTCGCCAGGCACTTGTATTGAAATCAGTGTGAGTATCTAGCTACCTAAATTTTGTTTGACGCGTTGTTACTTTCTTATTCTACTTATTTCTTCACTGCAGGGCAAATTCAAACTCCAACCCTGGGTTTTGAATTAAATTGTTTTTTTAATACTTTGTATAGCTGGTATTTCATGCGCTTTTCCTTCTAGGGGTAAATTAAAAAGCAAAGGGGAGGGATGAGTGAAAAGAAGGAAGGAAGAAAGAAAATGTTGAGTTTGTTCAACAGTTTTTCTTTTTTGTAAAGACTGTGACAACTTTTCGTACTTATTTCTGAAAAACTTTGTGGGATAATCATTCTCAAGGAACCTTCTAATTTACTTTTAACCATTCAAATCAACATTGAAAAAACTTTGGGAAAAAAACTGGAAAACTTTGGAAAAAACATTGAAAAAACAGGATTTAGGAAGGAAAATACTTAATTGCAATTTTCCTTACTTGCTCTGAGAGTTTCCTGTGAAAATGCTGGCGCCCTTTCTAGTGATAATATCATGCACGGTGGCCATTCTCTGTGAAGATTTATCTTTCGGCTAGATGAGCTATTAAAGTGGCCTTCCAAAACATTTGTTTAAAGAGAAAGGGAGAGAGAGAAAATATGAGAATGTGAGTGTAAGATTCATATTACATAAAGGAACAATAACTCTGAATTACCTTGACTCACTCTCTGAGTTTAAACTTGAGATTTAAAATTGTAGGAGCACTAGTGAGAGGTGTTCGGATAGGGACACACCTGCTCAGTCAGAATTTTCTGTTAATTACAAGCCTGGAGGACTCCTGCTACGTAGATCTGCCTGCTGAGGC